TCAAAAATGAATAGAAATTCATAATGGAGTTTATATTAAAAGCTAATTAATATTATATATATATATGAATCGAGATACATACATACGTACATACATGCATACATATGTACTCTACGACTACTCTTAATGTATTGTCTAAATACAGGGTATTAAAAGGGCTTTAGCGCCTTCGTTAAAATGCAAATTGCGAGTTAATTACAACACAGTTTCAGGGCCTTAAAAGGATCAAATGACAAATGTGTCAAGTGTTGAGCTTGAGGCCGCGTTTTTTTCTTMTATTTGAAAGGGCAAACAAACTGACAAAGTCTTCCAAAGAGTTGAGCAAATGCCAATAGAGACGGCAGCAATAGAAGAGCTCTGTCAACATATCAGGCGACAATGGCTGTCAGTTAACAATTTTTGGCTCTTGTTTAATAAAAGTTTGTGTTGAATTTAGAAATAATATGATAACCCACTTCAATCGCTTTACAAATTTCATTTGGTGTGTAAAACATGGCGGATGAGAGATGTAGATGCTGCTGCTGCTGTTGCTGCTTCTGCTTATTGATGGGCTGTCAAAAGTCGTCATTGAAAGCAAAGCAAGCACTCGCTGATGTTTGTTTATGCGGCAGCAGCAGCAGCAACAACAAAAACAGGCAGGCTCTGCTTACGCTCCATGAAGGCAGCCGCAAGTTACACACATGCATAGTTGTATCTCAAAGATACATAATAAGTACGGCACGCGATATGCCAAGTAGCAGCCCAACAGCAAAAGCGGGGACAGCAGTTTACTGGAGCGCATCATCAATGTGTAATCTAGTTTCATTACGAACATTGAAATACCCTCGGCGCCCTCGAATGCCTCCTCCGGCAGCGTAACACGATGCCTGTCAATGAGGTGCTAATGGAGCCGCCTGTCAGCGCAAGAGCTAGACCAACAGCCAACAGCCACAAGCCAACAGCCATCAGACATCATCCAACTGCAGTTCCAGGCATAACTTTAATATATACAGTTAGGCAAACCACATTCATGTTTTATCGTCCAACAAACCGAAGTGCATCTTTAATATGAATAAATCAAATGGAAATAGTTTAAAGTTGCATTTGCCACTGCTCGCTTCTCTTATTCCTCTCAAGTGTTGTTCGAGTGTGTCGTCGTGGTCTGTAATCGGAGCCCACATCTGTGCTGGGTTATGAATAAATTTTGAGACGCTCTTCAAAGTTTTTTTCTTCATATTTTTCTTTACTTCTATGTGGTTTCTGTTTGTGTTTGCAGCAAGTTTTAATTAAGTTTTGCCATCAGACGAAACTTGGTCATAATGTGAATTATGTTTCTTGGAAAAGTTTTGGTAATACGATTATAAATATGTCGAAACTGAGCTGCGCGTTAATGGAGAAATATTCCAAAACTAATTAATGTATGTTTACATGCATAATATGCGTATTAAGAATCGTTTAATTAATTAGCTTAATAATTTGAATATGATACGCTTATCAATATTAAATATTTAGACAATAAATTAGTAAGTCAGCAGAGGGATCAGAGGTGCAGAAAATAAAGATATATAAATAATAAAACATTATGATAGTATCTAACATTCAACAAAATCCCTCTTATTTGATTGTAAAATCATAGACATAGATCTATAAATGTTATAAAATAAAAGTGATTCTGTTAGATATATGTATTATCGATTGGAATAAAGATATGAATAGCTTTTGAAACATGAAAATCATACCGCAGCCCACACAAAAATATATCTGATCAAGTATAATTATAGCTATTAGGTTTGAAATTACAAAATAAACTTCAGCTCTGATAATAAATGTACAAATTATATATGAAGTCAAATGGAGCTCTCCGACATGTTGCCCAAGTTTAGCGTTTGTAATGTTCAATGCTCAAGCTAGACACGAGCACAAAATAACAACAACAACAACAACAAATTGTTCGCTGACAACAATTTCAGAGATACATTTTACGATCTATGAGGCAACGTTTCATATTCAGCTACAAAGAGAGCTGGCAAAATGATTTGTGTTGGGTATTATGCCTCTTAATGCTGACATATGCGATTCTGATTCGCATTTAGATACACCCAATGTGAGCACTAGCCAAATTATGAAAAGTATCTCTCTGGCTGCCTGTCAGGCCGAACAACAACGAGACAAATCTCGAAATTGATTAACTCTAACAACAAATACGCCAAATAAGTACAGGGCCCATATAATAGAAGCTTGTGTTTGGCTTATTACGTCACAGTCACCTTGAAAGTGCGCTCATAAATTTAATTTATATTCAGCTCGAGAGATGCGCAGATACAGATACAGATACAGATAAATGAACATTGAGATACATATGTAGCGCTTAGAACGGCGTTCGTGTATTAATTATTTGAAGCACTCAATTCGAAACATGGCAATGAATATTGTTGTTGGAAAAATTAGAATACAAATAAAAATACCCTAAAGCTATATGAAGGCGATGTTACTAGGTAATATTGGTGAATAAAAGTACCATATAAAATACTACATTTTTAAATATATAAACAAAAAGAACAAAAAAACTAAATAAAATTTTACAAGATACGAGAAATTGTTAAACTAAATTAAATGCACTTATATATTTTTATTATTTTTATTTATTTTTTTTTTTTGTTTTTTTATTTAGACTAATATCAATAAATTTTTTTTTTAAAGTCTGAGGTTTTGAAATTAAATTTTAAATATTTTTTTTTAAAACTTTATCATTACAAATATTTTGTTTTTTCATTTTTGATCGATTTATATATTACTTGTTGATTGCACTGTAAATTATTATTTCAAATTCTATATTTTTTATCTTTTTACTTTTTAGTCACACTTAATATTCATTGTCTTTCCCATATATAGATATAGTTTACTGTAGCTGATTCCATATTCGTTTCTGCCTAAAAAGTCAGTACTTTATTTTGGTGCTAAAGCGCAAAAAACCAGTTCAACTCTTTGGCTCTTTTATTTATTTTTTCTTTTTTGGCGGCATAGTGGCCAAGCACGTGGTTCGTCGCTGCGTCCAACCGGTACCGGTTTGTGTTTCTGTTTCGGTTTCTGCTCTGCTGCTGCTA